AAAAACCCTAGTCTTAAAAATTATATTCTAACAAAGTACTATTTTTACTTATGGACTTAGATCAATTTAATACAGTCCATACACCTGTAGTCTGTCTAGTGTAGCAGGAGATTTTTAAAGCCCGTTTAGAAATTAAAAGGTATTTTTAAGATTATCTGAACCCTTGTATTTTTAAGTCTAGGCACTTGATTACTCTGCATATTCGCTGTTGTATAATGATAAGAACATCCTGTGGAGCCAATTATTGCCTCCACTTACTTAAGAAATCCTCAATCTCATCAAGAAGATCATTAACCTGATTTTTAGAAAGTGTGAGAACTTGAAGTAATTCCAATGGACATGTAAATTTCCTAACTTGAAAGGGTTTCCTTGTGATATAATGACAATAGTAAGAAATAAGACTTTAAGAAAGATACCACAGGAAAGCAACTAAAAATATGAGTACCTTAACTACAATTCTCATTGATCAGAAAGATAAGCAAGATTTTCCAAGTATCTCCCATGTAGCATACACTCTAATTAGAAAGATAAAGCATGCATACATGGATAAGAAGACAGAGAATTTATAGTTATTGATCACCTGCTATGTTCTAAGTTATAGTAGTATAGTATATAATTTAATCTTGTGGCAGCCTCATGAGATGCTTATGAAAAATTTGATTTTATAGGTGGGGAAATTGATAATAGGTCAAAAATCCAGTGAATTTGCAAACTGGGATTTAAGCCAGGTCCACCTAACTTCAAAACCAGAAATGTTGTTTGTGAAAATGATGAGTTAATATGTTCTGAGTGAGAAACTAACAAACTGACCTAGAATAATCCAGTATGTCTTTTAAAATTTCTTTTAATTTGTTTTAATTAGTTATACATGACAGTAGAATGCATTTATATAATTTCTCATTTTTCTGAGTGTACATGTTGCAGAATCATATTGGTCATGCAATCACATATATACATACAGTAATAATGTCTGTTTCATTCTACTATCTTTCCTATGCCCACATCTCTTCCCCTCCCCTCCCATCACTTCCCTCTACCTAATCTAAGGTAACGCTATTCTTCCTTAGTGTCCCCGGCCTTATTGTGATTTACTCTTATTTCTGTCTTGATCCTGGACATGTGAGGTTGCTGGATAAGTTGTAAACTACTATATTTGAAAAATAAAAAGGAAACTGGTTTCAAAGAAGGAAATTAGCTTTGTTATAGAGACTGTGCAAACTTTGAACTGGTTCATATTTATTAAGGTAAAGATGAGAGAATTCCAAATCTCTTCCTGGTCCAATAAATATGGTTTGTAAAACAAATATCTGACATTGGAAATGTGTAGGTACAGGGAGGGCAGACAAAAATGATGAAACTAGCTAAATATAATGGTGCATGCCTGTAGTCCCCACTATTCAAAAGGTTAAGGCAGGAGGTTTGAGTTAGAGGCCAGCCTGGGCAACTTAGGGAGACTTGTCTTGAAAAACAAAACAACAATAATAACAAAAATCCCTGCTGAAACAAAATGAGCAAGAGCACTGAAAATTTAATGTTGGACCTTTATGTATCTCCATTACTTATGATTTTATTCTCTCATCATCTGAGGTTTTAAGCAATACATGCTCATAAAAATACACAGCATTATTAAAACCAGGCATAGCACTAGACTCAGTAGAGACTGGTGACACTTATGTAAAGTAGTTATTTACTGTTTCTCATTCTAAATTTACCTCCCACTAATTTCATTGCACATCTCTTCCCTATTGGCAAGCCAAAAAAAAGGAATATTCAGACTTCATGAAAAATAATTTAGTATATTTATAGCAAAGCATATTAGATTTTTCTCTTTGCTAGGGTAACATGGAGTTCTAATCTGTTGTGTTTTTTTTAATCAATTGCCCCGTGGATTTGTCACAACCTGTATCCCAGATGACCTCATGGTTCTAAGTAATAAAGAAAATTTAATCCTTGTGAGAACAGTTGACATAAGGTCCTTAAACAAAGGCTTACATGCATTCAGCTTTGTATTCCCACAGTGTTGAACAGTTTTTCTGGTGGTAGACAAGGTGAGAACTATGTTTAATGCATATCTACATGTGCCAGACACTCTACATATCCACTGCACATGTCTCTACAATGATTCTATATTAGTATGCCCATTTCTGTCGAGGAGCAAAAGAGTAAACAAGCAACTAGTAAATAGCAGAATTGAGCTTTGAATTGGTGCTTCATTTTTTATTTCACTGTGTGATTTCCCAACCACGTTGAGTACCCAGAATGTTATTTGTTGAGTGCCATCTTCATGGGGTTATTTATCACCCCTCTAGTTAAGTCTGGCTTTGAGAGGGAAAAGAATACAGCTCGGGAAAGCTGTGATTCATAACTGGCCTGAGGGTGAATTGGAATGCTATGTTATGGTCAATCACTTAGTGCATAATTAGAGTGTAATTAAGAGGCAAAAACTAAGGGACATATAGAGCCAGCCTTTGTCTACAGTAATGAATTCTTGTGGACTGAGTCTCCACTTTTATTTTCATTATAATTGTAGAAAAATGGTAAACAAAAACTGAGGTAGGATGGCAATAGGAGAAGTGGATAGAGAGGAACTAAGGGGAAAAATCTGTAGATTTGTTTACCACTAAAATACCCTTCCAAAGGTAGGTTTGCCTGAGTGACATTTTAAATATTTTTCCTAATGTATATGATATTTTTATCATTCTGTGCCACCGTCTCTTGAAGAATTTAGAACATTAGAGTAACATTTAATGTTATCCAAGTTGAACAGTGAATTTAATGCCCATATCACCATTCCAAAAGAGAAGCACTCCTAGGTCTCAAACACTTTCATTATGATGAAACTTACTAGCTCACATGCAGACTTTCTATCTTTGAATAGTACAGTTGATATCAACAAAAAAATGTGTATTCCTATTATTTTTTGGAAATGACTCTGTAAGCATATATGAAAGAACTGCATAGCAACATGTGTCCCCAGGCTGATTCATTGGATTCTGGAAAAGTCCCCAGTTGCTTTAGCCTAATGTTAGCAGTTGTAAAAATGAAGGTCATTCATTTGGTTTTGATTCAACAGAAACTTGCAAGGATGGTTAGATTGGGGCCCTTTCACAGTTTTCCACTGATGTGTGTATGTGCGCGTGTGTGTGTGTGTGTTTGCCATGAAACTCATATACTTTCCAACTGCTCCTGTTTTACTCTGAAATGGTCTTTCTGTTGTTGGCTCACTACAAATCTCCAATGAGAAGAAATAAGTAGACTTGTGTACTTTTCCTGCATGTGATACAGGAAGTGCCTCCACAGGTAAAAACAGGATGGCAAAGAACATGGTGGGGAAAGGAGGAAAAAGGAGGTGGAGGTTTGTAGCTAAAAGGGAGCATGTCCCTACTCTCCTAAGCCAATTGACCACCTCACTCCCTTTTTCCCAGGCCTGTGACTAGGCTCCTGAGTCAAGCTGTGGTTTTTCCCACATCCCTGCTGAGTGACAGCCAGGCTTGTTGCAGAGCCCCACCACTGCCCAGGCTCTTAGCACCTGTGCAACACTCTGCAAGTGCTCATTGATAAAGAGCATCTCAGTCACTCAGCTTCATCTCTGAAAAGATTCTCATTACTTGTGCTTTTGTCCTCTCCCTCACAAGGTCAGTGCTTCTGTGACCACTGTTGGGAACCAGGCAAAGTGAAAGTCCAAGTCATGCAAGTGAGGGCTTCATTTTTATTTAAGTTTTGATATTTTGTTTATTGTGGATTTGTAGCATTAATTTTGAGTTTTTAAAATATAAATTAAAATATTATGTATTCCGATAAGCATCAGGATACATAATATTTTAAAATTTAAGCATCCCTTAAATTTTGTTCCCTAGACAAATTCTTCACTTATCTCAAACTAGTCAGGGCTTTGGTGACAAAAGTTCAATATCTGTTTACCCTTTAGACATATTTCTCTTAAAAACAAAACAAAACAAAATAAAGCAAGCAAACAAACAAAAAAACCCAACTATCACTTCTGACTTAAATAAGAGCTTTCCTGAGACCTTAGGAATCACCTGTTTAAAACTCCAAATTCTATAGATCTATCTAGTATACAATTGTACTGCTACTTTGTGGCAAGGTAGAAATAGAATCCAAGTCTTTTGACTTTTTCAAGAATAGTACATTTTATTTTAGTATAAATATTACTGAAATTTTAGGTTTAGTGATCTGGTATTTAATGTCTGTCAATACTAAGTAAAAAGATTTTGAAAGGTTTTAGATAGCTAGGCACTGAGATACAGGCCTATAATCCCTCCAATTTGGGAGGGTGAGACAGGAGGATCACAAGTTAGAGGCCAGCTGCAACTACTAAGCAAGGCTCTCAGCAATTTAGCAAAATCCTGTCTCAAAATAAAAAATACAAAGAGTTGGGGATGTAGCTCAATGGTAAAATACCTCTTGGTTAAATTTTGAGTATAAATGAAAAATAGTTTTGAATGGACTTCTACTCTAAACTTTAATTGAAGGGAAGAAAACAATATTTACCAAGCATAATATGTTAAACAGCGAATGCAAACCCAACTCTTCGTGAGATATTCTTTGAGGTTCTATGAGATACATGAAGATGAGTGATATATAGTTCTTGCCAAACAGAACTTATAACTTAGAGAAGTTGTTAATTGCTTTGGCCCAAATAAATAAGACATTTCATTGAATGAGAAATAGATATTAAATCATTGGATTCTACAACACTTTGAAGTGCTTCCTACTGCACTCAACATAAGGTTGAAGCTTCATTAATATTAACTGGAACGGTAGAATAGCACATGGGAAAAATCCAAATTTGTTGAACCAATTTACTTATAATTGATGTTATTTACAGGTCAGGATTACTGGATCTGAGAGTAGAAGGAAATAATTTTCAGCAACTGTTACTATGATAAAACATGAAATTATCTAAAGATTTTTCAATTATTTCCTGGCTATTTTTAAAATTATATTTATTCATTATAAGTAGAGGAAAGTTTCCTTACTTGTGGTTTCACCATTCATCTCTTCAAGTTCACTGTTGATTCCAACATCTATGGAATTCATTATTTTGTCAATCTGTGGGAAATAAAGGCCATGAAAGGGGATTATTGCATTCACTTTTAACATTGCACTTTAAAATAGCTTCCAATGCTAGGATCATATATTCTTGGTGTTATTACTACAGCAATACTATAATTAAGAGACCAATAGGGAAAAGCTTAAACTTCTTTTGAGGGATTTTTGAAAATATAAATTATGCTTCCCTTCCTTAAACTTTCAAAATTAATGTGTATGTTCTCTGTATTTCTTGAAATGAAATTTGTACTTAGATGACGAGTTAGTTAGAAATTGTGTATTCTTTAAACTTAGAAGGGGAAGGAGCTACAAATAAGATCATGTGATGAGATCTATCCTCTAGCATCCTTCCTCTTCTGCCTAAGAGCATGCATCTCATTTGACTGTGAAGAGACCAGGAGTCAGATTGTGGGCATGGCCGTTAGAATCAAGGTCTAACTAAATGTTCTGATCAGTCACAAGCTGATTAGTAGGATCCTGTCACAAGAATATAGACATGGAACAACCTCATATTAAATTAATTAACAACCTTACTTTAACCTTCTAAAGGATAAATTAAATATTAATTAATCTTGTCTCAAAAAATAATTCAAAAAGGAATTTAAATGTATTCAGATTTTAAAAAGAAGAAAGGAATATAATAAAAAAAAACATCCATCTACTAGTTTGCAATTTTGGAAAACACAATTATCTAAGATGGAGGTATCTCCCTCTTCCTCATATTGGCCAACATGTTATATGGCAGGTTTCAGAAAAGACAATGAGGATTGTCTCATTTTGTTCACCCTGAAACAGATGCAGAGATATCTGGTGATTTTTCCCAAATAGCTCAATGGAGAACATTAATATCAGAACCATATCTATTTCTAGTTTCCAGAATACTATAGTGACCCAATGTGCTTTTAAAGCTAGTCCAACTGGCACAGTCTTTTGAGAGACAAAATGTGACATGTTATAATGAAATATCATAAGAGACTATGGTCCATTCTTTTAAAAAATCAGGAAAAAGCAAGGAGCTTCATTATTTTATGATGTAATTCTCCTCAGAGACAAAGGATGATATTTTATAACCTTACAAGGGCACTTACTTTCTGAATAACTCTTTCCTATTAAAGACTTTGTCTTTAAGGAGAGCTTAAATTGGTGATACTTGACCCCCAAACATCTTTTCCTTTAATGATTCTCCAATAGCTGTAGAAGGGAAATATTAAGTGATGTGCATTTATTGCATGATTCTTAAAGAAGAGCCAGGAACTGTTCTTTTTTATCATTAAGGTTAAGATTAGAAGGAGCTCTTCTAAAAATACAAAATACTTTAAGAAATAGAGACAAACTAACAGAGTTTAGCAAGTAGCAAAAGGATACCTCACAAAAAACAAGATTTTTCTCAATTTGTCAGCTACAGTGCTTGGTAGGATGTGATGTGAACATTCTCTGGTACCTCATAGCTAGTTACTTCTGCTTGACATCAATTTCTATGGAAACAATGGATTCAACAATATAGGTGGAGCTGTATTTGTTTTTATGCTACCGTGAAATTCATGTATTACCCATAGAACTTTTCCCTTCTGGTTGGACCTGTATATATTCGTTAATTTTCTGCTTTAGCCTCTGAAAGAATTAAAAAGCTGACAACCCTTCCCTAAACCTCCCTCAATTCTAAATCCCAATATAAAGAACAAGAAGAACCAGGCTTACTTCTTCCCATTCAGATGTGAAAGACGGTGTTCTTTCAGAATTCCCTTTAGAACTGTGTTCAGCAGTTGAAGCTTCACTCCAGTTAACTCTGGATACTTTCTCCTTTGAAGGGTGGGCGATGAGATCAGAATCAGATTTAGAGACAGTTTTGGATAAATGCATGTCGATCAGGGCTCTAGGCAATGACCTTATTCTCCCCAGAGTACAAGCTCTTTCCACAAATCCCCCCGTATTCACAACCCACTGGTCTCCACTCCGGGATCCACTCCTGGTTGTTCTTGTGCCGACAATGGTATGGTTCTCGAGTTGGTTGCTTTTTTTGTGAAAAATTGTTCTACTGACCACTTTGGGTTTAATTTTCTTTACCACAGGTTGTGAGTTATTTTCTATTGGAGTCTGCTTGAAAGGCAAAGGACTGTTTGCCAAACTGACTTCATCTTGTCTTTCTTCACATTGACCTCTTTTCCCATAGAGATGAAATGGATTTTCAGGGGATTCACAGGCTGGAGAAGATCCATGGAGAAGGCCTGCAAATTGCCCAGGATCATATTCTTTAGGGGGATCATTGTCTTCCTGTTGAGAGAGGTCATCTGCAAAAGGGAGGAAGGATGTCAGGATTATATAAAGAACTCTGAAAGCCATGATATAGTAGGAATGCCCTTATGAACTTGTGTAATGTCCAGACATTTGATTTATTGCTACATTGCACTTTATGAAACACCTATAACCCTGTAGTGCCAAATATAAAATGAATGTATGTGTGTGTGTGTGTGTGTGTGTGTGTTAATCTTGCTATACCTTAGTGTTCATTTCAGAGGTATGAATTGAGTAGTCAGTGACTGAATACCATTCTACCTGTCCCCAGGGTATATATGTAATATTGAATGAACAAAATTGGGTTTTCTTAAATAGGATACCCATATCCAAAACTTCAATGTAAATGCATCATTGTATAGTGGAACATCTGGCATTTTGAGAAGTACAATTAGAAGCAATTTAAGGTTAATAATTCTGATAGTATTACCTTAAATATAAAATTAAGAACAATTCTACACAGATTAAAAAGGGGTTTGTTCAGGCTTAAAATAAGTAAACAATGCATCCATAATATGACTTAAAAGCAAGACTATTACATGAAACTGAAGTTGAGCTGTTAACACAAAGCTATCTTTCTCTTTCTTCTTGGAGACAACACTAGTTATTTCCTGATTTCTTCAGATCTTTGGAAATGTAATGCAAAAAAAAAAAAAAAAAAACAAAGAATGATAATTTTTATTGCCCATTTTCCTAAAATAAAACATAAAATTTCCTTGAGATTAAAATATACCATGCTCTTTTATGACTTAATTTGTCATTTAAAGGTATACTGTGTAAAAGTAAATGCATCATTGTATAGTGAACAATATAAAGAACTTAGCACAGGAAGTCAGTTTACTTCTTTCAGTGTCCTTTTGCATCCATAGAGAAAGCCAAATGTTTGCCAAGATCGAACTTTCATTTTCTGATTAACTCATAACATACTCTTGCAAAATGAAATATAGTCAATGTGGGACACAACAACAACAAATTTAAAGATGATTTGCTGATCCATACTTTAAAAAGTTAGTTATTACTACAAGCCTCAAACACCAAAGTTTTTATGGATTGACAAGTAACATTTAATGAATATGTGCTATTTACTAGGCACTGAATTAGAAGTTATATTTAATTCATCTCGTTTGATCCTCATGACAATCCTGTGATGTGATTATTAATAACAATCCTAATTTTCTGTTGGAAAGAGTTAAAACAAAATATTAAATTCTCATATTTTTGATAAATGGGCAACCACAATGAATATTAATAGACATTTGCCCATAGGTTGCTACAGACAAATCTATACTTTATATTGAGTATTGGCCCCAGGCCCCATGCTGTTCTCCCACTGGGAGCTGGTAAGAGCAGTTTTATTCCAGGCTCTCCTTATTTCCAGACCTCACCCTGGTTCCTGCTTAGATTTTCCAAAGAGATGTCTCCCTGCCCAGATCTATCCCACCAGCATCCTGAGATGGAAGAAAGAACAATGATAGAGGAGAAATCCAAGAGACACCAATCCAAATGGGAAAAAAATCTGCATCCACCTATTACTATTCTAACCACTTCAGTTTTCCCACAGAAAATCCATTCCTTTCCAAAGAAGCTATAATATGTCCTTGAAGACTCCCTTCTGTCTTGTCCTCACCACAGAGGGCATTCGTGGGATAGCATAGTAGGTAGAGAGTAGGGCAAGGCAGCTTTGAACTCTCTCAAGATTATAGAGTTTATGGCTTATTATGTTCAGTTCTTGGAGGTAAAAACTAACTCACAACTTAAGCTGCTCAAGTTTTTCCACCTAGTCAGTGGTTGAGATTCAACCTAAGTTCTGTCAGATTACAACATCCAATAGTCTGGATACTAATATTACTATTATAATAAAAGAACAATTTAGGATTAATTTACCAAGAGGACAGCAGAGAAGCTCTGGTGTGGAGAGGGACATGCTGCTTCTGTTCATGATTATTTCTAGAATTTGGGAAAAGTATACTAAGAGTCTATTAAAGTTTTGTTTGTTCAGTTTGTGTGTGTATGTGTGTGCACACGTGTGTGTGTGTATGTGTGTGTGTGTGTGTGTGTGTGTTTCTTCTTATAGATAAGCTGATACTAGAAGGAAACAAGTCCTGGCATTCTCTTCCAATTTATTTTCTCTTTCTTCTGAGGTAGCTTGAATCCCCCCATAGTGCTTTTCAACATGAGCACGTTGGTCTGGGATGACAATAATGGTGAGTAATTGTAGGAAGGAGGAATTCTGAAATAAAGAAATTCAGAATTTCATTTTGAAGATTGCTGAAGAAGGCTACAGGGATTGAGTTTGAAAAGAAAATTGAAAACAGTCCACCAATTGTGGGAAAAAAAGATTCAGTAAATCTCTGTCAAAAAGATTTCTGACCATGTTCATTATCAAGAATAATGAGAATGTTAGAGGCAGTATATTATTTTAGAGTTTCTGTGAATTGTATTATAGGTTACCATCTCTTCTCTATTTTGAACAAAATGACCATCATTATAATCCCCAATCGCTTTATATTGTCCAAGTCCTCTTGTTAAAAGCAGTTACTTCCCTAAGTAAAAGAGAATTTAGTTATTAGTGTATAAGCTTGGTTTACTGAATAACAGTTTTTAGCATTTTTTGCCAAGAGTGGTAAATATTATTTGCTTATTTTAGTGGCCAGATTCTAAAGATTACTAAAATCAAAGAAAATGAGAGGTTGATATGAAACCTCTTGAGAAGCCTGTGTTGTTGTTGATGGATTAGAGCCAACTGGTCTGAGCACAGCTCCCTGTAGCCACACCCCTCCCTGCAACCAGTCCTCCTGTGCTGACTTCCACTGTGGCCACATGCCTTGCATTACTGCATGGGACTGCAGCAAAATGATATAACGAGAGATTTGAAAGGTACTTTGTTGCTCTTGAAACCCTGCCACATATGAACAAGCTAAAATGGCCTTCTAGATAATGAAATGACACATTATCCAGTTGTTTTAAAATGTAGATTTTATTATTTTTTAGGTATGGTAAAGCCAACAGATCAGGAGATGACTGTCACTGAAAAGACAAAATGTTAAACTCAAAGATCCAAGAAGAGAGGCTTGTTACATCAATAGGAGATTCAGGGGGAAGCAGTGGGGACTGACAGGAAGTAGAAGGAGTAAGGAAAGATTGTGGCAAGAATCTTTATTGTGATTTCCATAGGACAAAACAAACAAAGCAGAGATGAACAGGTTTAGGATTAGTTAGTTTGAATAACTTCAGAGGGTTCAAATGTGTAGAGATTGTCCCTAGTTGTCTGGTCCCTGGCCCTGGGTAATTAGGGCAGCTAAATAGTGGCTGAGAGTGTGTGAGCCTGGTAAAAGAGATGGTGGGGTATGGGCTCTGGATTGGAAAATCATGCTCAGAGGCAACTTGTTCACTGTATCTAGGAATTAGCTAGCCCTGGGAGGGAAAATCCCTCTAGAATCAGCAACATCCCAAAGTGTTAGAGCACAAAACCAAACAAAACACAAAATAAAAAGACATAGTTAATACAGCAGTCACCCACATCATCCCAGCCAACTTCCGCACATGTGAATGAGGCCATTCAGGCCAAGCCTCAGGCCAATCTGCCAACTGACCACAGTGCATCAGCAAGCACTGCCAAGATAAGCTGAGTCTGGCAGACCAGAAAAAAAAATACCCAGAATCATGATCCCATTAATGGCTATTATTTTAAACCATTAGGTTGAGCTGATTTGATATGTGACAATAAATAATAAGTAAAATTCAAACTATATCCTAAGTTTTAAAGAATTAGTATATTCTTTAAAATAAATTCTTGCAATGTTTATATTTCTACTTTTGAAAAATGATGATAGTAATAGTATACACCTAAAAAGTGTTATAAAGATTGAAGAGGTAATAGAAGTTTCTAGGCCCATGTGGGCTTATATAAGAAAATATGATAAACTGGGTGACTTATAAATACCAGATATTTATGTCTCACAATTCCAGAGGCTTAGAAGTTCAAGATCAAGATACCAGTTGATTTTGTGTCTGCTGAGGGCCCGCTGTCAGGCTCACAGACAGCATCATCTTACTGATGATAGAAGGGTCTCTTACAAGGGTGTTAATCCCATCCACATGGGCTCTTGCCCTCATGACCTGTTCACCTCCCAAAGGTCTCACTTCCTAATACTATCACCTTTGGGATTAGGATTTCAGCAATGAATGGGGATGAGGTACAAACATGTGGACCATAGCAAGAAGTCAAGCAGTTAGACAATAACTATCACATAGAAGGTATTCTATTTTTCTATTATTGTGACAATAGCTTTGTTTTTATTAATTTGATAGTTTTTATTCTAATTTATTGTATACATCAGCAGAATGCATTACAATTCATATTAAACATATAGAGCACAATTTATTGTATCTCTGGTTGTATACAAAGTATATTCACACCATTTGTGTCTTCATACATGTATTAGAGTAATGATGTCCATCTCATTCCACCATCTTTTCTACCCGCTTACCCCCTCCCACCCCTTTGCCCTATCTAGAGTTCCTCTAATCTTCCCATGCTCCCCTCCCAACCACAAATATGAATCAGCCTCCTTATATCACAGAAAACATTCAGCATTTGTTTTTTGGGATTGTTTATAGAAGCACAATTCACAGTAGCTAAACTGTGGAACCAACCTAGATGCCCTTCAGTACATAAACGGATAAAGAAAATGTGGCATATATACACAATGGAATATTACTCAGCAATAAAAGAGAATAAAATCATGGCATTTTCAGGTAAATGGATGGAGTTGGAGAATATAATGCTAAATGAATACAGTTTTATTTTTTTTAATTTGTTCTAATTAGTTATACATAACAGTAGACTGCACTTTGACACATCATATATAAATGCAGTATAACTTCTCATTCTTCTGCTTGTACATGATGTAGAAGCACACAGGTTGTGTAATCATATATGCAAATAGGGTAATAATGTCTAATTTATTCTACCATCATTCCTACCCCCCATACC